GGGGAGGGGCGGGCGGGGGGGCGGAGGGTGCCCTTGCAGCCTTACCCGGTCCGGGAAAGTTCAAACAGATGACCAAACAGAGGGCTGCGGACGACGCTGACAGCGGATTTATCGGATCTATGGTGGGGTCGGGGGTGGGCACGCTACCTCCTCAACAGCAGCAGCAACAGCAACAACAGCAGCAGCAGCAAGCTGTGAGACTGAGGAGACGAGCTGATGATAGGTGTGTGTGTGTGTGTGTGTGTGTGTGTGTTTGTATGTGTATGTGTGTGTGTGTGTGTTTTTGTATGTGTATGTGTGTGTGTGTATTTTTGTATGTATGTGTGTAAGTATGTGTGTGGGTTTGTGTATGTGTTGGGTTTTTTTTTTGTGTGTGTGTGTGTGTAAGTATATGTGTGTGTATGTGTTTTCTGTGTATGTGTGTGTGTCTGAACATTTACATATGTCTTGGCTCAATGATTCTTCCAAGCTGTTGAATCACTACATACGAAAAGTAGGAATTATTATCAAAGTATTTTGTTAGTATTTGAGCACTTTAGCGGCTGCTTGCCCTGTATGCTTCCTGGGAAGCCAAGAATATTTCTGAGTTTTGCTGGGGTAATAATGCAGATTGTAAAGCGTAAGTTTGCTTTTTAGTAAGGGTATGCACCACATAAATGCTATTTATTATTATGACTAATGACTTTGTCGGTGGTGTGTACTCATGAACAGCCCGTCACTTTCACTCACCATCTTTCCCTCTCAAAAACAGCTCAAATGTCACTGTCACCATCTGTCTCTTTCACCTTCTATCACTGTCACCATCTGTCACTGTCACTGTCTCTTTCACTATCTGTCACTTTCACCAAGTGTCACTTTCTCCCACAGCTCAACAGTGACCGACCAGTCAATGGACACCTCCGTGGACAGACCCAGGGAAGGCAGGAGACCTCCCAGAGGTGACCTACATCTGTTTGTCACTGTCTCGTTTGTCACTTTGTAATTTGTCACTTTTTCAATGGTCATGTTTTGTTTGTCACTTTAAATGGTCACTTTGTAGTTGTTACTTTGTAGAATGTCATGTTGTAATTTGTCACTTTAAATTGTCACTTTGCAGTTTGTCATGTTTAGTTTGTAATTTTTTTATTTGATCATTTTGTAATTCGTCACTGTATACTTTGGCACGGTGTAGTTTGTCACCTTTCCTGTTGTCACTTTGTAGTTTTTCCTGCTATAGTTTGTCACCTTTCCTGTTGTCACTTTGTAGTTTTTCCTGCTATAGTTTGTCACCTTTCCTGTTGTCACTTTGTAGTTTTTCCTGCTATA